ATGACTGATTTGTAGTGGCTTACTTTTAGCATTTTTTTAATGGGGTAAGGAAGCAAATCCCTATAATTCTCACCCTTTAAATTTCCTGCAATGGCCCAACTTTTGTTCATCAAAATTTTGCCATTTTGACACTGAAGAAACAGTATTAAAATCTTGGAGAATTCTAACAGTGCAAATTTGTTCTTTGGGAGCTTCCTAGAGTAGAAATGGAAACAGCTTTCTTTTCCCATTCCTACTCTGAAATCTTTTCTCCACTTAAAAAGAAAGATTATAAAATTTGATTTAATCCTAATCCTTAGTAAAAAGAATTCTTTGTATCTTTTCCTTTTGGAAACCAAGGATGGTAAGTATGTTTATCTTCAGAATCAATCTATGAGATAGCAACTGGCCAAAAATTACCCAGCAGAGGTCTGTATTGAACTGTGGCCTAGAACCTACATTTTCCTTAATGTTCCTCCATTTACTTTTATATTTTGTATTTTATAATACTTTAATAATTTAATTTAAAATGTTTGTTTAAAAAAAACTTACATCTTCTCACTCCAAAATTTTATTCCTTATATTTCTCACAAATTCCTTAACTTGTATTGAATAAATAGAAAACGAATTACATTTCCATCTTTTTTCTTAGTGCAAGGGGAGGAATTAGTTGTCTCTTTGGAGCCCCTTGTCTTTTCCAACCTAAACCCCAGGTGATTTTAGTTTATTTTAATTTCCTTAGGGTTATTGGTTTGCCCTCTGCATTTGCCCTTTTCTTCCTTGCTAAGAGACAAGTGGAAAAGAAACGCGTGAAACAGATGAAAGCTCGCCGAGAGATGATGGCAGCCAATAAAGAAGATAGTTTGACACAAAGAACAGGAAAGCACGTAGACACCAAGTCCAGTTGAACTGTATACTTCAATCATTAAGTTACTGCTTTCAGATTCTCAAATTTTAATATTTAATTGGAGCATGGCGCTGTGCTGCAGAGCATTTCTGATTTCTCAATCTGCATTTCTATGAATCAAAGTTATCAATAAATTACCATCAAGATTACCACAATAATCCTCAACATTAGAGGTATCTCAAGCAAGAAGTAGTGGCCTGCTTTAAGTGTATTATGGTTTTCTTGCATCAAAGGGATTTCTTGCTAAATCTGGATAACTGAAGATGAAATTGCAGGAGTTATATAATGTGGGTCACAAGAACTCAACAAAGCCATTTGTACTTTATTTTTTCTACTTAGTGAGCAACATTTTCTGAATAATTGTTCTTTCAGTTACATTTCACATTGTGGCTAGCAAATGAAACCAGATCATACTACTCTACCAAAATTTATGTGAAATATTGAGTTCATTAAATATTTGAAAACTTTAAAGTCAGGTTAGTTTATTACAGATACTTAGGAAAAATCCAAGCAAACTTGTAATTTTGAGTGATTGGCAAGCTAATTGATTCCATTCCAACAGTTAGGTAAGCTAAATACTCAGATTTTACATGCATGTTTTAGCCTAGTCTTAGGATCCTAAAAATTGTGATTAAAATTATAGGGTCTTTTTTAATGCATCAAATTGAACAGTACATTGTTAGAAAAAAAATATGTTTGCAGTAATTGCTGACAAATTGTTACTACTGTTTTTACATCTTATTAAACTTTCTGCTTTCTACAGTTTTATGTTCATTTATTTCATCATAATGCAACATTGGCCCAACTGAACTCCGTTTCCAATTCGTAGTATAATGGTAACACTATGACACAAGACAAAAGGAACAGACGTCACTTTAGTCAGTTCCATAAACCATTCATTGCTTAGATACTACACAAGGAAAACAATTGACTGCAAATGAGACCACTAAGGCTTCTTTTTCAAAATCTTTGAAAGATTTATTCTCCACTTATTTGTTCTTCCTGTTGCAAATTTTCTTTGCCTACTTTCACCCAAATGGTTATAATGGGAAATAATTTATATGACACAGATCAGTGTTCACGGGTGAATTTTAATTAGAGGGGAACTGTTGTTTGCCCTCATGCCTGTTTTGTCTTGACCACTGTTGTGTGGAAATGATAAATAAGCAGATTTTAAAAGGGCTATCAACAGATCTAGAAATCCAGAAATAGATCTGTTTTGAACATTATGGTCCAGATCCTGCTTTCTCTGGACCTGCAGGAGTATAATTATAGGAAATAAGTTTTATGGAAATATCCAAAAACTTCCCATTATTCGAACATGGATTTTATTATCATTAATAGGTCATATGTCTCCCCCTACCAACACAAATACTCTTTAAATTCATGTTTTTCATTTAAAATGTATTTTCTTAGTTGAATACTTGTAATATAAAAGCAATCTGAGCACCTCCTACTTCACAACTAATATGTAACTTCTATGGCCAATACATGTTAAAAAAACAAACAACTGAATCTCACTTTCATAAATAGATCTAAGGTGGTTTGCAACTTAATGTTTTCTTGTAAAAATTAGTTTTTTTTAAAGCAGCAGTTTGAAAAAGTCAGGTTCCATTGTGGCAATCATTAATAAAGGAATTGCAAAAAAAATGCCAGTATTATATATGAAAAAACATACTATATAATTTATTTGTAATAATAATATAACAAATGACACCCTGCAAGCTGGAAGACTGCTCCTGCCATCATCTATTTCATTGTGGCAATCATTAATAAAAGAATTGCAAATAAAAATGCCAGTATTATAATACATAAAAACATACTATACAATTTATTTGTAACAGTAATATAACAAAATGACAGCCTGCAAGCTGGAAGACTGAAGGTCTCAACCCAAAACCCTCTGAATCTTTACACTGTCTGTCTCGGAAGTTACTCCTGCCATCTATTTCATTGTGGCAATAACTAATAAAGGAATTGTGAATAAAAATGCCACTATCATATATATATAAAAACATACAATTTATTTGTATCATACTATGACAAATGACAGCCTGCAGCAGAGGTGGTATTCAGCAGGTTCTGGCCAGTTCTGGAGAACCGGTAGTGGAAATTTTGAGTAGTTCAGAGAGCCACCTCTGACTGGAGATTTTACAGTATCCTTCCCCTGCCATGCCCACCAAGGCACACCCATAGATCCGGTAGTAAAAAAAAATTGAATCCCACCACAGGCCTGCAGGCTGGAAGACTGGAGGTCTCAACCCAAAACCTTCTGAATCTTCAACACTATCTCTCTCAGATGTTTCTATAGTGTACAGTAACTTCCTGGAAGTGCGGGGTAGAATTATGTTACTAGATGATTTATCCCTTCCGTATTGGGAGTCAGACCACTGAAAAACAACAGCAGCCCAGTGAATCCTCTTTGGAAAACAGAATCTTAGTGTGATGACCCGGGGCACGGCACAAAGGCAACACAGTCACATAAGTAAGAAGAGCCCCTTTAATACCCCCAACTTTACCCCCAATGTCCAGTTACCTTCGGCTGGAGAAAAAACTCTCCCAAGAACAGTCTTTAAGTGGAAAAAATGCAGTCCAAAAACGAAGTACATATAAACTGTAAATAAAAATCCACACAAACCACGCTGCAGCAATTAACTGGACAAGGCAGGATAAGGAATTGCAGACTTCAAAAGCCAACAAAACACACACAATTGGGAAGATGCCAGGAACCCAGAAAAGCCTCGACAATAAAAGATAACTCACAATTTGCTTCCAACAAGTTGCTGTGCGCAACCTCTCTTTTAAAACACTGTGTTCCCAGCTGCAGTTAATGAAAGGAATCAGGGCCCTTTCCTCCCCCGTAAGTCATGCAATTCACATTGCTCCCTTCTCTGTTCCTCCCTGCGTACCCTAGGATGAAGAGGGGGTGGGCCTGGATCTTCCTCTGAATTCCCTCTGCCTTGCTCTACCTCTCTCCTGCTCTGCCCAGCCGGACTTTGCCCTTCCCCAGTTTTTTCCACAGCCAACGGAGCCACACTCCCATTCCGTCAGCTGCTCAGCCTCCCCCTCAGAATCAGATTCTGACAGGGGCATGACACTTGGCCTAGAACAGGGCTTTCCAAACTTGGAAACTTTAAAACTTGTGAACTTCAAGTCCCAGAATTTCCTAGCCAGCATTGCTGGCTGAGGAATTCTGGGAGTTGGAGTCCACAAGTCTTGAAAGTTACCAAGTTTGGTGACCCCTACAGGAACCTCTGGTCTAATTTAAGAATTCTAATAAGATAACTGCTAGAAAAGGCCTCCTATGAACATAACACATGTAAAGGTAGATATACTATGAAGGAAAAATAGTAATGTTCTGGCTATATGCTGTATGCTATATTAATATGCTAGCTGTATTGTTTTATGTTAACTGAATAGTTAACATACCGTATTTATCGGCGTATAACACGCACAGGCGTATAACACGCATCTTCATTTTAAGGGGGAAATTTCAGGAAAAAAAATTTAAAAAAATTCTGCCTGCCTGCCTTAGTTTCTGGTTGTTTGGGAGCAGCTTCGGCTGAGAATAATAACTATTCGCCTCTTTTACTCAGCCGAAGCTGTTCCGATTCAACCATTAACGAAGGCAGGCAGGCAGGCAGAACGGAGCACTGCGGGCGGGCGGGCGGACGGGGTGGGGGTGGGGGAGAGGCGACAGGAAAAGCCCCCCCCCCCGCTTCTTTGAAGCAGTTTCTTCCTGTGCTGGTGGAGGAGCGAGAGAGCGACTGAGAGAGCTGAGCCAGAGAGCAGGACAGGCTTCGGTTGCTTCCTCCCTCCCCTTCTTTCATTTGTGTCCTTGATCCCCGATCCCAGCAGCATTCACCGAAGGCTTCTTAACATTATATCGGCGTATAACACGCATACATCATTTGCCCCCTATTTTCAGGGGGAAAAAAGTGCGTGTTATACGCCGATAAATACGGTAATTACTCTAATTTTAATGGTTACAGATAAGAGCTTTGGCATGGATGTTGATAAACTTATTAAATCCAAATGCATCTCATAGGACATACATTCACTTTGATAGTGTACTAATTATTTCAGGTGACTTAAGTTTATTGAACTTTGGATTCAGCCCATATAATCAATAAATGAGTTTTCGTACAGTATACAAAGCTTTCACACAGTATAGCAAAATAAGAGCAATACAAAAATTTAGAAGTATGTGTATATGATAATATTATTCAAAAACAGATTCATATGAGGGAAGGCCAATATACTAACATTCTGAAAACAACTTGTTCCTTAAGTTGCCATTAAAAACAAATCCCTAACGTCTGCTCCCAAGTCTTAAAAAAGAAAGGAAGATGTAGATGACATCTACGTAGATTTGAATTGCTCCATAAACATAATCTTCAGGACTGATGGAAAACCTCTTATTCCCCAAGAGCAACTGGGTATCATATGCAAGGAACTATAGGAAATCAAAAAGAAGCAATTAGTCTCATAGTTAAAAAAAAATTACCTCTAAAGATGCAAGTGTCCTGCCAATCATTTCTTGCCATGCACCCTTCATCAGTTCCTTAATTTTCATTTAAAATGTGTTGATCCACACTTTTTTTTATAATCCTATCAACATACTCTGTCTGTTGAATTCCTTGGCTTCCTTTCAAAATTTGAGATCTTTTTTAATTTAATACAGTAAAATTTTAATGTACCAGTGTGGTACACACACAGAAAACATACATACAAGTGTCTAACAATCCTATAATCCACGTCAAGGATGGAGATACTTCTTAATGATCCACTTTTTAATCACACTCCATATTTTAATTGGAAGTGCTCAAAGAAGTGATTCTATCACATCAAATAATTTACAAGATATAGCAAATTCCCCACTTGCTATTAATACAGTATATATAGTCAATTTCCTTTTATTGGGACATATCAAAGCTCAACTTTATTAGGTGTAATTTGGGTTTAGCAAACAAATCTTGATATTTTGTTTGAATGGCTAAAGTCAAAACACTTCTGGCGTCTTCTTCAACTTCATCTATCTTTTATGCATTTCATATCATTATTTATGACAGGTATGAGAGGCTGGTTCCAATGAACCATTGACAGTTGAGCTGCAGAGTTGTTATACGCAGAGACAGGGAGTCCTCGACTTACAACAGTTCGCTTAGTGACTGAAGTTACAAGGGCACTGGAAAAAGTGACTTATGTACATTTTTCACACTTACAACCGTTGCAGTATCCCCAAGATTTGGATGCTTGGCAATGGACTCATATTTGTGATGGTTGCCGTGTCCTGGGGAGAGGGTCATGTGATCAACTTTTGCGACCTGACAAGCACAGTCAATGGGCCAGCCAGATTCACTTAACAACAGGGTTACTAAGTTAACAACTGCACTGATTCATGTAACAACTGTGTCAAGAAAGGTTGTAAAATGAGGCAGAACTCATTTAACAAATGCCTCGCTTAGCAACATAAATTTTGGACTCAATTCTGGGCATAAGTCGAGGACTTCCTATATAATCTTATTTTGCATAGCATATAAGAGCGTTCAAAGTGCTGCACACCTATTATTTTCATAAAAAGCATCTTGGGGCGATAGAAAGTAATTCTTTACTCACCAGGGTAAAGATGATGGCACAAATGGCTGAATAAAGCATATGGACCCAGTAGATCTGAAGAAGATCAGTAAGATCCAGTTAATTACAGATCTCTAAAGAGGAAGTTTAAGCTGTCAATCAGAACCCCATTGACATTATTAAGGGACAACACAGTATGAATAAAAAGGATTTGTTAAGGCCACAATTTCAAAATGCCTCAATTAAGTGAAGGGGAAACAATTCTATAGGGAAAAAAACTGGAGGCATTCATTATCTGTCATAGTTTCCCAATTAAAGCAGATATGTTTCCAATGTAAACACATGTAAATATTAATTAATGCACACACTTTTGAAAGCCAGTCATCCATTCCAGCCACTTACATATTTGTGTACCAGGACGATAGTGGTGGTGATAGAAGTCACTAAGAGGACAATTGCCAGTATACAGAAAAAACCAGTCCAGGTTGTGAGATCCACCTGCCAATGAGAATGATACATTGTAGCATAAGTGACCCCCACTTTATTGCCCTATACATACATAGAGTAGCCAATCAATGCAAAATGAGTAAGAAATGAGTCAAAGAAATTAAAGGCATGTCATGAGAAAAGAAAAAATCAAATGTAAGTTGATCTAGCTTGTACTAACACCACGCACTACTTCTTCACATTTTCCATCCTTGGAAACCATACTTACTTACTCATATACTGCTTCACATACTTTCTTTTGTTCCTTAAACTTCTTGCTTCTCTTTCAGGATCTCTTCAATTCCATCCAATCATGGCCCATTTGGTTTTCCTCTTCCTCTCAACCCATGTTCTTCCAAGCCAAGCTTCCAATCAACCAATGGAACAGCTTGCCCTCGGAAGTTGTGGGAGCGTCATCACTTGAGACTTTCAAGAAGAGATTGGACTGCCATTTTTCAGAAATGGGGTAGGGTCTCCCACTTGGGCAGAGGATTGGACTAGATGATCTATAAGGTCCCTTCCAACTCTGATTATCTGTTATCTATTATCTGTTCTTTCTTCATATGCTTTTTTTGTAATTTGATCTTCATTAGTTCTCGCTACATAATTACCGTATTTTTCACACTGTAAGATGCACCTGACCATAAGACTCACCTAGGTTTAGAGGAGGAAAACGGGCAACGACAAAGACAGAAGAGGCAGGATTCAGCACTGTAAAAGGACCCCGCTGTCACAGCCCGTATTTTTCACTCCGTTAGACACACAGACATTTCCACCCACTTTTTTTTTGTGGGGGGGGGGAGAAGTTTGTCTTATGGAGCAAAAAGTACAGCAAATAATCTCAGAGTACTTCTTTCATACTGACCACTCACTTTTCTACAGTATCCTGCACCAATTCATTCTTGATTATCCCTCCTGTTTTACTCATTCTTGACTATCTTATAAGCTCTTTTTCACTATATTAAAATGATAAAGACAACTCACCTTTGTTTGGAAAGAGAAAACAGTGACAGTGATTGTTATAACTGTAGTGATGATCATGGCAAGGATGACAGCTTTGGTCTCATGCATACTGCAAAAAGCAATGTTAAAAAATGCCTGAAGGATATCATTAATCAATATATATATATATATATATATATATATATATATATACATATACATACATATATACACACACATACACACATACATACATACACACACACACACTGTGCATGTTTTCTGAGGTTTTCGCGGGTATTTGTATGTGGATCTTTGGTTATTCGGGTTTTCTCCCGCGAAAAATTGGAAGTATCTTGGCAACGTTTCGACGAAATCCCATTCGTCTTGTGTCTTGTGTCTTGGGCTTTGTGCTTCATATATATTTATATATGATTCACAAAGATTATGAAAATTCTTATAAGCCATGTAGAAAGTGATCATAATGAGGCTATTCCAACTTCTACTTGCAATCTTCAATGGATATCGAGAAAGGCCTCTCTGATTGACTGCAAAAACTGGTATAAGAGAAATCAGATATTCTCTTTATTTTCTTAAAAATAAACATTACCAATTTGTATCAATTAGTGGCACTATTGTAGGATAGACAGATGACCTGAATATTCTTCACATCAATATAAGTCACTATAGTTTCTGAAGAAACTTCAAAGATATTCTCATGCATCATACGACTCATTCGAATCTCACCTTACTAAGAAATATATTACTCAAGTTAAGGCAGAAATTTTCCAGAAATGTTACTGTGCCGTTTTTCAACAGTTATTTTAAAACATTCACAACAGATTCTTAAATAAAGTCATTCAATCTTCAGAATGTTTCCAGATGCAAATTCTACAATGCTGTTAGTGGGAAATCTTACACAAGTGGGGAAATCTGGTTTATTTTTATATTAAAAGAGGCTTTAGCCATCCAACAGCCAATGACAAAACTATTATAAAATCTCTTAACACAATGCCCAATAACTGATGGCAATGGTTATTTCAACCAAAAATGAAAAAAGAGCTTGTTGGTACTTTTAAGGAAATAAGAGGATTTGCCAAGCCCATGGCTATTATCTATTTTCTAGTAATAATTATTCAACACTTTGCCCTCATCTTTTGAGAAAATCCAGCTTGTTTATCCCCATTGTACACTTATCACTCTCATTTACTCCCTTGTACAGTACCTAGCAATGGTGCCTGTCATAAATCCCAAAGACAATGTCTAGGGAAAAAAGCAAAACAGAACAGAAAATTAGCAAAGCATTACGTACATAGTACAATATTGGCTATATCTATTATTCCATTGCAACTTTTCCCATCCCCATTTTAGGTGAACATACATATATTAACAAGCAAGCCTAGATTTAAGCATCTTTAGTGAATTGCCATTGTATCATCTGAGACAAGAATAAACAATCCTGTTAAAAATGCAGTTTGTTTAATCAAATACATTCCATAGAAATTGAGCTGCCATGAAGACTGAAATAATAAGAGCAAATTCCCACATCAAATTCTCACATCACTTCATACTTTTAAAAATATCATTACTATATAGCCAATGATTTTAAACAACTATCATTCAAAATATTGTGCTGGTGAAGTGAGTTATACAAAATTAAGCACTTGTCTTTTTTGAAAAATATAAGATGAAATCATTAACTTTTGCTGAAGGAATGGTAACTCAAAAGTAGAATGAATATAACACTTATGACATCTGAATCATTAATTTAGAGATTCTATTTAATTCTGTGTGGATGAAAAACACTGCAGGGCTGGCTCCCTGTTTTACACATGCAAATATCAATTTACTGACATTTTCCTTAGAAAACCGTTAAGAATAAATCCCTAGGCTTAGTTTTCGTCCATGATGCCAATTAGACCTAACCCTAATTTCATTTTCATTGGCAATGGATTTTCCCATGTATTTTGCCCTGGACCCAAACAACTTTAAAAGAAAGCTATCATAAATGCTTTCCTTAGAAAACTATTAAGAATCTATCCTTAGCATTAGTTTTTGTCCATGAAACCAAGCAGACCTAACTCTAATCCCATTTTCATTGGCAATGGGATTTTTCCATGTATTTTACTCTAGACCACAAACAAGTCCGAAATGAAAACTGAAACTGATGCTTTCCTTAGAAAACCGTTTAGAATCTATTCCTAGTGTTATGTTAGGCTGATTTAGCCAAATTGTGGACATCGTTTGTGCCTCACAAAACCTAGCATTAGTTTTCGGCCATTTCATTTTCATTGGCAATGGGATTTTCCCATGTATTTTATTCTGGATCACAAACAAGTTTGAAATGAAAGCTGTAACATATGCTTTCCTTAGAAAACCATTAAAAATCTATCCAAAGAACAAAGAAGCAGAAAGTACTGCCACAAAGTTTCATAATCTAGAATGGGGTGACAAACTTGCGGCCTGCGGGCCAGATGCTTCAGGGGCTGGCCCCGCCCCCGCGCAGTTTAGCAAAGGGGGGAAAAGTCCCGATACGTCACATTACGCCGCAAGTTTGACACCCCTGATCTAGAAGAAACTCAAACACTCTTTCATGGGTCCAAATAGAGATGTTAACAATTGGACAAGTCCGTAATGAGAGAAGTGGTCACTCTTAATTAGGTCATAAGCCATTAATATTAATACCTTAAATTGTGCAGTTAGCAACTGGCAATTAATCCTGATCTTTCAGGATTTCTAAAACTTGCACTGGTTAACGGCCTTAGGTGTTCCATTTTAGCCCAATTCCAAATTGTTGGCATGAGATTATGCCATTTTTCCCCCTCAAACTTTGTGAATGTATTTGTTTAAAGAGAAAGATACACTGTTTAGATAATTCTTCTGAATGTAAGGAAATATTTGTAGTTTGGAGGCAATGAAATCATTTTCCTGCCAAGTGTTTTAATAATCTGCAATTAATTATTACTTGAAGATTTTGTAATAATGCAAATATAATAATGCAAATGTATTACTCTTTAATCTCTATCCTAGGCTCTTTTGCCAACATTTCAGGTCTCCCCATGTTAGGGATATCACATCTACTAAATTTAGCCCAACCTGTAACATCAATCTACTACTTACGAAAATTGTCATAAGAATTATGTTCCATGGAAATCGTCTCCTGAAAAAGACCAAAGAATGTGTCAGTGCCTATACAAACGGTCCCACTTTAAGAAAAAGTATTATTTTGGCAGAACTTTTTCAAAGATATACCAGACTTCCACTTGTTCTATCCCAAGCAGTTTCCTTAGTAGGACAGTTCTACCTGAAGCTTCTTAAGAGCTAAATGGATAAGTTATTTAGCAACAGGAAACTCCCAAACCAAGATTTTAAAAAGCTACATTTTGATTTCTAGTTTCATCATTCCTAAGCAAAGCCACTGTAGCTCGAAACCTTTAACCTGAAAAAGATTCTGCATCCTGACTTTAACTGCGTTATTGTTGTGGGACAATAGGATGAGGAAGGTGTGCTGGATATGCTTGCCCCCTTGAGCTATTTGTAAAAATAATAAAGGATACAAACAATTTAAAAAATAAAAGAAATGATAGCCGGAAAAAGTAATATAATAAAAATCTTTTAAAGCCATCTAGAAAAAAAGGTTAAGAGCTTCCCTAGTAAAGAAGGTATAAATCTAATTTATATGTAGAGAAAATTAGCAACTTGTGTCTCATCACTAAGAAAGCCAATAATGAACACCTTTTGATGAAGGGATATACTTAGGTTTCCCCGAAAATAAGACCTGGTCTTATTTTTTGGGGGGCTCTAAAATAAGCACTAGGGCTTATTTTTGGGAAAACATGATTTCAGGGTGATCAGCTCGGCTGGGTGCCCCACCCCGCCAATGCACACATAACAGCCAGCAATTGCACAGGAACTGACACCATCAGCCCTGCTACCAGACACTATTGGCCCGTGCATACTTGACCATGCCTACCCTTTCACTACGGCTTATTTTGGGGGTAAGGATTATATTAAGTGCACACATAAAACCAGGCTGGGGCTTATTTTCAGGGAAACACAGTATTAAAAAAAAGCTTCAAAAGGATTGTATAGGTGTTTTCCTATGATAGAAAGTTGTTTTACACTACAGTTCTGAACACGCAACTTTTTTTCCTGAAATGTTTTGGATCCCTGGGTTGTGACAGTGCACCTTCACTGCAATACTACTGTATTACCATCCTACAGACAAAATTTGCATTGCAGGTAGTCCTCGATTTACAACATTTGAACTTTTCAGCAGCACTGAAAAAAGTGGCTATGACCTTTTTTCACACTTACATTGCAGCATCCCCATGGTCACATGATTTACATTTGGATGCTTGACAATTGGCTTATATGTATGAGAGTTGCAGTGTGCTGGGTCCATATGATCACCTGTTGTGACCTTCTGACAAGCAAAGTCAAGGGGGAAGCCAGATTCACTTAACAACAGTGTTACTAATTTAACAGCTGCAGTGATTCACTTGAAAAATGTAGCAAGAAAAATTGTAAAATGGGGACTCACTTAACAAATGTCTCACTTAGCAACATAAATTTTGGGCTCAATTGTGGTTGTAAGTCGACCTACTATACTTGTATTTTTCATTGCTTACCTATTCTAAGCCCTTTGATTCTTGTTATTCTGCTTTTCATGGACATTTATTTTTTAGCTGCAACAAACCTAAACCTATGAACATGATTGCTGTGTGTGCACATCCATTATTTGCAAATAAGAGAAGTGCCTCACCCAGGCCTCATTTTTACATCTCTCATTTCTATTGCAGAGCCAAAAAAAAAACAACGGCAGGAATTATTTATCAAGGCTGTATTTCCACAATCAGAATGCCAATCCTTTTAACCACTTCTCCATCCTTCATTCTAGAATTCCCAGAAAAATTTGAATGTAATGCATCATAAAATCACAGATGTTACCTGTGGGGGATACTTACTGGATCTTTTGGCAAAACACCAGCACCAGGTAACAGATCAAAAATACACCACTGGGAAGGTAGAAAAGACAAATTACTGCAAACTGAAAGGCAACAAGTCTAAACAGCAAGCTACCCTCTTACATTTAGTAAACTTTTTTTCAATGAAAGTCCTTTAAGCCAGTGGCCCCCAACCTTTTTTGAACCAGGGACCGGTTTCACGATTATTTATTCTTCCACGGACCGGTACCTGAGTAACGCGAGACTCCACTGCCATCGGGACGGCTCTTCGTTCGAAGCCCCCCCCTCTTCGACGAAACTAAGGCGCGAGCACCCAAACGCTGCTTTCCAACTGAAAACCCGGAAGCACTTTCCAACCGAAAACCCGGAAGCAACCGAAAACCCGGAAGCGCCGTCGAAACAAGATGGCGGCACCCAAGCTTTGCGGCCCGGTAAAAAATGATCCACGGACCGGTACCAGTCCGGGGACCGGTGGTTGGGGACCCCTGCTTTAAGCCATACAATTGAACGTGTATATTAAAGTTTTACCAGAGGCTTTATGCCAAGTTAAGAAGGTAGAACATATTTCATTTGAAAAGTGGTATCAAACATACTTAGGAGTGGTGGTGATGGAAATCAAAACAGAGCCAAGAATCTTAAAGGATACAACTTGTCAAGTATTCATTATGGTACAGAAAGTTCTTGTCTTACAACTATAATAGAGCACGCCCATTGCAGTTGTATGCCATGAGGGTCATTAACCAAGATGCCCAGTCATTTAGCTCAATGACTGATACCCTGTCTCTCCCAGGTGCAATCATTAAGCAACTGTGTGGGTCGTTAAACAGGACTGTGTGGGTCGTTAAACAGTGAGGGAAAGAGCTGCCTGTCAAGAGGGAGGCGGGGTCCTCTTGAGAGAAGGGAATTCTAGCACTGAACTGGAGAAATGAAATCCATCTGACAGGCAGCTATCACTCTCAAAAATTCTGGCTGCAAAAGTCCATGGTGAAAGTCAAGAGGGATTTTAATATGGGAGTCTTGAAGCATGAGGTGTTTGCAGCCAGCCTCCCTACAAGTACCCCAGGCTAAAATTCTTCTTGGCCTTGGTGGCCAATGCAGTATTGCAGGCTATTTCTGCCAACTGCCAGCAATTCGATTCTGACCGGCTCACAGTTGACTCAGCTTTTCATCCTTCCAAAATGGGTAAAAGGAGGAGCCATATTGTTAGGGGCAATATGCTGGATCTGTAAACCACTTGGAGAGGGGCTGTAAAGCAGCATGAAGTGGTATATAAGTAAGTGCAATTGGTAGTGCTTTTGCCCTGAACGATTCCAGTCATCTTCTCTGAGAGTGGAAGGGCTGCTCTGCAGAAGCACTCCACCTGACATGGGGTGAAATCAATCTGGCAGAAAGCCCTTCCACTGTCCAAGATGTTCACTGAAAAAAAGATCCTGAAGGATCCAGGTGGACCTTTGCCAGTCAGCCCCCAGAAACCAGAAGGAGCAGTTTGCCACCTTCCCTGCCAGCTTCACTGCCAATTGCTGAAAAAGTCAGCAGGGAAAATTGCAAATATCAAATACATTATCATGGAGGACTTGGCAACCCATTTTAAGTGCAAATAGGTTGTCAAGAGTCTAGATCACAATCATATAACTGCAGGGCTGCTTCAGTGGCTGTAAATTCACTTGGAAAGTTGTAAGTCCGTTTGTTCAGCACCATTATAATTTCGAACAGTTGCTGAATGAACAGTCATAATTCAAGGACTATCTGTAAATTCCCTCCTGGCTTGGAGTTCTTGACTGTGTTATCTAAAAGGCACTAAGTTAGGAAAGATTGCAGCAAAGCAATACATCACCAATGGCATTTTGATTAATACTTACTAAGATGCATAATAGATTGGAATGTGATTGATCACATAAGTGTGCACAGGAGCCCTGTGGAGAAGAATGACATGAGATCAAGTATTAGTAAACTTGAAGCATGAGGTGTTGGCAGCCAGCCTCCCTACAAGCACCCCAGGCTAAAATTCTTCCACTTTTGACCTAAATTAGCCCAAAATTCCATGAAAATTATTTTATAGTTTCATTTCCCCTTTTGTGGTCAAGAACATTAATACTTACCCATTAACTGGGCCACACCCAGAGCTTGGCTTGTATCTAGCTGCTGATTAGCCTGTATTCACTATGTATTTTTGGTATGCAATTACTGAAACATATACGTAATGCCTTCAAGCAAATAGATATTTCCTTATCAAGTTTACCAAAATTTTTGCACGACTGAAGGCTTTTCGTATATGAACAAAAAAAGAGCCAAAGGGAAATACATTTCTTCACAGCTGCTTGGATGCATTATATATACCAATAACTCTGCTAGTCCATACAGGATTCTAGTCCTGCTTTAGGTATGTAAGCCGGATAGGTGACCTTTGGCCAGTCCTTCTCTCTCAGACCAACCCACCTCATGGCTTGTTGGTATGAGGAAAATAGGAAGAAGGGGCATTAGGTATGTTTGCTACCTTGAGTTATTTATAAAAGCAATAAAGGTGGGATTAAAAAAAAACCAAATAAAAGTAAAGAAATAAATTCCAACCCCTATCTTTAGAACATAATAGGCTTTTGGGGAAATCTAAAAAAATCTACTCTCCAAAAATAGAGAGGGAAGTCTGCCACTGGAAACATCATACAATGTTATCACCATTGTTTCTTTGATAACATGACAAGCTTCAGAAGGCTTTGGAGCATCAGGAGCTGTTTTCCCCTGCTCCCCTGGAGTTAATGTAATTTATTTTCATACAATCAGAAGCAGTAATAGGGTAAAGTAAGCGAGGGGAGAGCCAAAAATCCTCACAAAAAAGGAGGAAAGATGTAGCCCTTCTCTTTCTTCTGCCTGGCACCTACCAGTCTGGAGGAGTGTCAACAGTCATTACCCATCACACATTCTCAGTCCCAGGTCCACCTGCATCAGGGGGTCCCCAAACTTGGCCATTTTAAGACTTGTGGACTTCAACTCCCAGAACTCCATAAGTCTTAAAGTTGGCAAGTTTGGAGACCTCTGACTTGCATGGTGGCTTTGTCTATCTTGGACCCATGAAAACTTACACAAAGGTGAAGATGGCAACAATTGCTACAGTCAGTAGTAGCTGAAGAGTGATGATGCTGTAAACCTGTTTGCGAAGACAAAAGAGATGCACATTCAAAATGCAAAACGAAGACCAAGTTGTGGGGTGACCCTATTCAGATGCCCCCACAGGAAGGTAGCAAGAACGGATGTAAGAATGAAAGCCTTTTGCTGAATTATATGGGGTATTTTTTTCATCTTGCCATATCTTTTTTCAACCAAGAAATAACTGGTGCATCGATCAGCTGTTTTAGCTATTAGCAGAGTGGCAGCAGCAAGGCACTGGAAGCACTTAGCGGCACATATTTTGGGCACAATTATTGACTAAATGAAGAAAAAAAAATACTAGCAGACCACATAAGGCTGCTTGGTGAGACCTAGGTTGTTCAGGTCTATTCTGTAGTTTGCATCAGTATATGTAGAATGTAAGGAAGACGACCTGAAGGAAATAAACAGAAGCTATTGCCTAAGGCTAAGCAAAAGGGGTTGAAACATTTTTTATGCCCAAAATAATGAGGTAACATTTGAAAATGCCTCAGGCAGACACCTCTCCCATTCAATGGAGTATAAGAAGCGAGAAAAGCAGATTTGTAAGATTTTGTTATTTTAGCCAATCTCAGTAGTTGATTGCCTGCTCTGGCCTACATCCGGGGGCTGGTATCAGACTTACCTTGCGAATGAAGGCTTGCCTAACATTTTTTTCCACCCAATATGCAATTCGGAAGCCCCCTTCTTCCATCTCCAAACTTCTATCACCTGTGAAGAGAAGAGGAAAACATTGATCAACCCTATCTATGAGACAAAACGTCAATTGTAGTTGTGATAGGATGGATTCATAGTAGATCTCCTAGGCGTGATTGTAGCAGGGCTTTATGTATTTAACTGGATGCAAATTACCACAATGGCTGAACCTACTCCTTCTTAAAATAATTTATTATCCACTTATTAGTACTCTGAAACCTCAATTTACAATAATTACAATCTCATTAAACCTTGTCTCAATTCTAAATAAAAATATGCATTTAACACTTCCTGTCTATAGTTTGCCCCTCTCTTTACAGTCCTAAGTTACAGTTTTCCTAACTACCGACACAATTTCACCTGTCCCTTAACCCTTTACAATATTTTCATTTAACAGCTCTTTCATGTAAATTGACTGTGCTGATTGTGTTCTCCCACCTTCAGCTCCAGACCTCTTGTCATCATAGGGGGGTGGAGGACCAAGAGTTTCCATGTTGTTCATGGCTGGTGTACAGCGCCTGGGAAAATAAGTGACATTTAAGATGCTTAAAATACACGCACATATGCAAAAATGTACACACACACACACGATATGAAACATAGACTACATTCATGTTCAAAACCCACAATTGTTTTATTTCTATAAAATGCTATGTCCAAACAATTATTTTTACACCTTAAAGCAGGGGTGTCAATCTCAATTTCATTGAGGGCTGCCTCAGGGCTGTGGTTGACTTTGGGGGGGGTGGGCGGACGTGGCCGATTGGGTAGGTGTGGCCAACCAGGTGGGCATGGCCAACTTGACACCACTCCCCAAACTGTTTCCTGTTTGCATTGGGTAGACCAGGCCAAAGCTACACTGGCCTGATCTTTCCTCTTTGCACTGGGTGGACCAGGCTGAAGCTATGCTGGCCCAATCTTTCCTGTTCACATTGGGTAGAACAGGACGGCCCTGCGGGCCAGATCTGACCACTTCACAGGCCTGCGGGCCTTGAGTTTGACACCCCTGCCTTAAAGCAATGGTTTATGTCAAGGCAATGGCTGGATTTTCATTACTACCTTTAGTCTAAGGTAACTTTGTTGTCCAAGCCTAGAGATAATGTGTTAGGATGCAAGTATGCCCAAGGAAGCTAGCTGCTTTACTGATGTGATTAATATTTTGAATAGCTTCTTTAAAACACATGAAATCTGAGAATAAAATTTCAATAGAAAAAACAACAAGACCAAGCAGCAAGGTGAACTAAAACCTAATACTGTATTTGGCCATTTAATCTACACACACACCCCAAATAAAAATAATGACTAAGGATAAGAGATGGTAAATGTGAGTTCAACCTTTGCTTGCAAAAATAAGCAGAGGAGACTGTTGCTCAGAAGAATAACGAACAGAATGTCTGCAATCATTAATGTTTTTGACAATATTTCATTTCATGCCTGTCCGCAAAACTGGTATGTGACAAAATCAAATTTCTGCTTATGAGATCTAGTTTGTAATTTGTTCTGAGAAGGAATTTGAACTAAACAACGAGCTGAGGCAAACAGGTAAGTGTAAGAAATATGGAACTGAGAAACTAAGAGAATGATTTGATAGTGAATATTTTTGATCAGTGTAAAACCATCACAAGTCTGCTATATAGTGCAAATGTCTGTATCTCACCAAGTGGTATGTATTTAATATGTTTATCTCACCAATTCTCTACTGAATTCTAAGAGGTTTGCAATAAACAGCAATTTAAAACATTACTATGGAAATATGATATATAATACAGCATACACGTGTGTAAAGGTAAGAGAAAAAATAGATGTGTCTCTATGGAGAGCACATTTGGAAGCTATTAATCGGCTAGAAACATGTACGTTAATGTTCAATTAGAAATGAAGAGAAAGAAAAACAGGCCAGTTAAATAAATATGAGTATCTATTCAGTACACTCACATTTTCAGTTCTTTGTGGTCTATTTTCTACTTGCCATAAAAAGATGAAATCGCAGCAATTGAGGAAACCTCCCCCACCCATATACTTGTGGGTTAGAATGTTTCTAACTCCATTTTAAGGAAGCAAAAGTAAATATGACGCATACACACAAATTTTTAGATTTTTGTTCGATATGTTTCCCCTTGGGTAACAACTACTTTAGATATAAGGATTGCAGCCAGTAAACTTTACTTTCTGAAACTGACTGCACATAAATATCAGCTCACACAAGTGAGAAAGAGAAAGTGTCGTCGGAAGGATCTCCGTTCTAAAATCCACAGCTGTGATATGATGACAAATGTGCAACTTTCCAGACTTACATTATCAATATTTCTTGGCAATTATAAGAATGTGCAACATCCCTTTCTACTGTTGTCGTATCGCTTTCCAAACCATTCATATAGCAATAGCAATAGCACTTAGACTTTGCAGCCCTCTCTAAGCAGTTTCAGTCAGCATATTGCCCCCAACAATCTGGGTCCTCATTTGACCCACCACGGAAGGATGGATAATTCATATACATATTCATTAATCAGTGGAAAGTCTTGTCTCCAGAAGTTGTGGGCGCTCCCACACTGGGGATTTTTAAGAAGAGATTGGGCAACCATTGGTCTGAAATGGTATAGGAACTCTATCGAAGGTCCCTTCCAACTCTGTTACGCTCTTATACTTTCTAAAAAAACATCTAGAAAAATCCCATGAACCTTCCAGAATAAAATTGCTCTACCGTCTCTCTATAAATACTGGTGGTGGGGGCTGGTGTGCTGGGTTGGTTGGCTGCGCTGCTGCCTCTTGATTGGTTGATGGAGTTAATGTTGGTATAACGGGGCTGTGTGAGTTTATAACAGGCCTTGTGAGTTTTGTTGTGTATATATATAGATATATAACAACAGATTCACTAAGGAAACAGGCCTTGTATAGTTCATATTTATCTGAGGTAAAGATTATAAACCATTAAAAGAAACTATCTCAGATTCAAACATCTTCTGATAAAAGATTTCAAAGTTAGGGTCCAGAATGTGTTGGCACTTTATAATGATCTATAGGGAACCACCTGTTTAGCCTGTGAGTTCTACCCTTTTGAGAATTTTGTGCAATTTTGTGTTTCTTTACCCAAGCAGTCCCTGGGGCAACGTAATGCAAGTCTAGCAGGGCTAAACCTGACCTAATTTATTTATTCATTCACGTTTGTACTAGCCAGTGGTTATTATGCAATTGCTCTACCTCATTCAGGATATTTTTTTTAGAATGTCCCTTCTGTTGGTTCTCTTTCCTTTCTTCTCTCACTCTCTTTCTTCGACCCCCTCCTTCCTTTCCCCAAATCCAACATTTGTTACAGAAGTAAAGACCAAGAGATGCCTTTTGAGTGAACCCCTCAATCCCTTATCTAATCCTTAATTGAAAAAAACACCGGGTCTGGTCCTTCCTTCCCGCTTTATTCAACATCTCGCCAGCCTGGTCAAAAGAACCAGACTGCACCGCGAGAAAAGAGCGAAGGAGCCCCAATACTGAACCCACCGTAGGCTCCCAATTCAAGTTGCATCCGTTACACGGGGCCACCTCCGTCACCCCGCTGCGCAGGATAGGTTATGTACCGGCGGAGTTCCGCCCAGTCTAATTGAAGGGATAGCGCACGGACAGAGTACGGCGTGTTTATTTGGGAAGCTCCAGTAACGGAAGCCTAGTTGCTACTCCCACCTGATCGAACTCTGGGGTCGTTCTTAGAATCCCAAGATAAGAAGTAGAGATTCCTAGTAAAGAGCCAGGCCTCCGCGCCGAGCGAAGCCTCACATAGGCGAAAGGCTCCCACCCTTCTTTCTCCTCCTCCTCCTCCTCCTCCTAGCCATAGTAGCCTTTGTTCGGACGATTGCGGCGAGACTCCATACGCTTGTGCTCCAGAATCCTTACCCGCGCGTCCCCTTCCTCCAGGCCTCCTCGGAAACTCTTTCCAAATTCCGCTCCTTTGAAATTGAGCTTCGATCGTGGATTGGTGGAATTCAGACAACCGGGTAGGAGAAATACGCCCGTGTGGAGAACCCCGGTCAAGGGACTTTTTGATCAACTTCCTATTGTTTTCGAGAAGGGGATGGGGAGAGAGAGGGAGAAACCCTGAGATGCAACTCCAGTGCCTCTAAGAGGCGAAAGTAATGGTTGCAAGCTCCGATTTCAATAGCAATCCGGAACGAAGAATTGTGAGAGTGCACCAGCAAAGATGGTTTCTGGTTTTTAAGCCTGGACCCCAGATTCTGTGCAGTCTTGAGCCCGAGATATTAAGAATTCTTGAGATATTTAGACTTAAGATTCCAAATGGCTCAAACCAAAAGACAGTGCAAGCAACTCAGAACTATTGCAACAACTGTCAGCACTGGGATGTTGGCGTTTGCTCGGCTCAGTTTTCTTCTTTCAGATCATTCATTGCAATCTAGATCTTAGTTCGACTTGGTATATCTTAATCAGAATTGTTATACGCCTATTTGCGATTGGCTTGCCTGTATGTGTGATTTGTGGTTGTTCCTGCAAAGCGCTGATATTCCCTAGTTTGGCCATTAAATGTTGGCAAGGTAAAAAGCAAGCTCATTGAACACCAAAATCTCAATATTTCAACTGTGAACTACCTATATGCTTATACCGTCTTTTGATTACAGCCATTTGATGTCTTAAGCCTTGAATGATGGAGTACCTCAATGTTATGTGCTCTCGGCTACTTTCCTTCACAACCAATGGCAAATTTGCCTGGCCAATAACCAGCCAAGTCACAGTGAAGTCTGTTTCGTTTATTGCAATAAGTGGAGAGAAGCTGTCATAGCTTGAAGTTCATAATCTAAAATCAACATCTTTATACATTCCCTACACTGGCTGCCCATCCCCCCTCATTCCCCATTGGCTGAGGTACTATGAGGTTATACTCTTTGGACCGCCTCCCACGTTTCCTAAGACACTCCCTATACCTGCTACATCACATATGCCTTATAATTAATTATATATTCATATGCTTTGCTTCCTAGTGATTTCCTCTGGCAGCTATTCTACAGCTCAAATGTTTCTATTCCTCACTCTGAAGCCCCTTCTGATAGTTATGCTATGTATTCTTGGGAGTTGTAGTTACTTTCGTGTTATACTAATTATTTACGTCTGCGGTTAAGCTAGCGATTTCTTCTGGCAGTTTTGTACTTTCCGAAAACTTTTCGTTCATATTATCTATCATCACGTATCCCTAATTTCTTACTATTTATAATTTTACCACAAGTATAGATGGGGTTTCCTGTTACTCTTGTTCCTTGTTAGCCTGAAACAATTATTTTGTGATCAAAGTTTGACTAAAGACATTGCTACATCTATACTGTAAAGGAAGGAATTAGCTAGGCCCCAGCTTCTTCGTATTGTATTGGTAGGGTTTTCTTCAGATCGGAAGCTTTTTGGTCAAGGCAGAACGACTGGGCACCTCAGTGAGCTCATGGTTATGAAGTAGTCTAAATCTCAACCTTCCAAATTCCAGTTTAAACATCTTAAAAGCCAAGTTAGTAGGGATCAAGTGGAAAGGATAAAAAAGTAACTGTGTTGTTTAGCAAAATGGGTTTAATACAGATTTAACATACCTGATGGTAAATTGTCAAGTTAAAAAAATTATATTGCATGTGCTTAAATCCTCTAATCAGTCTACAAACTGAAACAATTATGAAATTAAATGGTTTTTGTTCTCCATTGCCCTTGCTTTTTATTCCACATTTATTGTATCTCTCTATGTTGTCAAAGATTTATTTAAAGGCAAAAAGTCAAAACTTGATGCAGTAATTTGCTGGTCAGGAAACCCCTTGATGTAGCCAAAAAACTAATAGCAACAAAAATACTGTGTCTTCTACTAATCTTAGCATTTAGTGGAAACTTGCAAGTTGTCCTATAGTTTAACAAAATGACATACCACACATTCATGATTATGACATGCATCCCAGTGAGAATCATTTCACGTGTGTCTCTCAAAATCCAGTTACTAATGTTCGTTCCAGGTTTTGAAGGAGTATTGGAACCATCCCCTGAATAGCCCACCTCATTGGCATGATGATACTCTTTTCTCACTTCCTGGTTTCTTTTGGTTACAATCCACTTTGCTAATCAAGGTGAGACAAGTAGACTGAGAACCCGGCCAGGTGATTCTGAAAGTTGATAGCAATTATCATATCAAACAATGAGGAAGAAAAAAGAAAAAGAAAGAAAGAGGAAGGAAGGAAGAAAAAGAAAAAGAGGAAGGAAGGAAGAAAAAGCAAGAAGAAAGAAAAAGAAAAAACTGGCTAAAACATCTTTTTCCAGTAAAAAAGGAGCCATAGTTTAAGAATTATGCTCAACGCTAAACAAAGCTAAAATCATAGGTAATCAGGACTATGCCTGAGCAAATATTTAAATCTGCCTAAAAGACATTGGGCTATGTCTTCTTGTTCCAATTCCCTCAGTTCTTAATGTTGCCATATACACTGACAAAGGAGTGGCTATATACTCAATTTTGTCTTGAATGCAAATGAAACTGTGAATAAGGACTTCAATAGTCTCCGGTTTCCAATCACACAGTAAATTGCTCCTTCGACGGCAAAGCAAATTAACTTCTCCTTCAGATCATTCAAAGGATTGCTAGAGGACCACATTCTTAGTTGAGCAGGTAAGCAATATAACCTCTCCTTACATAAATACATGAAAGCTTAATTCAAAAATATATATTTTATTTGCACTTATGTAATAGAGTCTTGTAACAATAGATTTTTTTAATTAGAAGAATCGTCTGCACCTTAAAGGCTGACAATAATACAAATAAATGGGTAAGTTAAAAGACTGCAATACATCATATCAGAGTGGTAATACATACTACATTCATTATTCCCAGGCACAAGTTAAAGAAGGATATGCCACATGTGGAAATGCAGAAGCAAAATGAAAAGATTAAAATCCATATCTCACTGAATACAAATATATGGTTCCTTATTATGTTTCCGGGTCCACTCTGAATCCTTTCTTGCCATTTATACATTGGCTGGAGGCTAGCACATAACAGTACATTAGAGCCAGAAAGGTGTTGCTTCCTGATCTCTGGGGAAGATTGTCAAAGTCTTAAATAGTTTCATCCATCTAATCTCTGCTGCCCACAATCTGCAAGAGGAAGGTGAAGATATAAACAATGTCTGTGTAGATCTTGAGGGCGCCATAGACGTACTCTTCAGGGCTGATAGTGTGCTTCCTGTTGCCCAAGACCAGTTGAGTATCATAGGCAAGAAACTGTAAAAAGCCACAAAGTAGCAGTTAGTTAGAAGGGACAAGAAATTATTCAACAATAAAAACCATTCTCCTTGCCAAGAGCTACATCACAAAAGAAGGAAATGCATTCCAATATCTGTAAGTCACAATCAGAAAGGATGCACGATGCAGTGAGCAGATGCCTAAATCTACTCAAGAGTTTTCAAAAGTTCTTCTCTCTCTCCTTATTTACTTCCATTCGATTTTAAAGAAGAGCCATTTCCCTTCCACCCCCTCCCCCCACGACTCCTCCAAATTTCAAATGCAAGTTTTTACAAAATGCTCAAAAATAAACAAACAAAAATATAATTGAAACAAAACAAGTACGAATCCTTTCAAAGACAACAGGAAAGTTACAACTGGGTAAAAAGTATTTTCAAAAGACACTTGGGAATAGTATAATTCTGAAGCCAAAAATAGAATCATGTAAAAATAAACCCACGATTTACTATTCTAGCACTTGGATTTAATGTACACAGCAGAGTAGATGCAATAAGGGAAAATTATTCCAGTTCTATTTGTAATCACAACATATTCATTCCATAGTTCAAAATCCGTCTCCTTTTCTAGATATTATATAGCACCCCCTCTAATTATAGGTAAAGACAGAATCTTTACAGAGATAACCTATAAACTTTATAAAAGCAATCTCATTTCTCTACTGATGCACCCATGGACCCAAGTAAAAATATACCTTCAAGAGAGGACAGCATTATGATTGTAATTATAATTCTAGTTTTGCACATATTTTGCTTAATTTTAGATTTGTGTGACAGAGGATGGATAACTAAGTCTACAGAAGGCAACTTCCTACTAACCAGAGTGAAGGCGATTGCACCAATAGATGCATAGAGCATATGGAGCCAAGGAACCTGCAAAAAGAAGAAAAAAATGAAGGTGGTCTACATCTATTTTATTGGTTTGAATTTAATTAACTCTAACAACAGATTTTTCCAGACTACAGCACAAATAATAGAAGAAGGAAACCATTATCAACTCATCATTCATTTTAAGAGACAAAAGTTTAGGGCAGGAATCTTCAAACTTGACAGCTTTAAGACTTGTGGACTTCAATTCCCAGAATTCCTCTTCCTGTCATGTTAGCTCAGCAATTCTGGGAATTGAAGTCCACAAGTCTTAAACTTGCCAAGTTTGAAGACCCTTGCTTTAGGGCTATTAATTACTCAACAATAGATCCTGTCTCCATGTTCTCTCTTACTATGTGGTCTCTCAGAGCAGTAGATACAAAGACTGTTGTTTTTTTATGATTCATTTTTATTAGTTTACCAAAGTATAAAATACAAAGAGAAATTTTAAAACCGTAGAAAACTGAGGGGGAGAGAAAAAGAAAAAAGGAGAAAATATGATGTAAAGAGGAAAAAGAAAAGAAAAAAGCACCTACTCCCAACTCTCTTTAGCAGAGTAAAAGATAACATTACAACCTCAACTTTCCACTTTTACACAACAATATATACTAGCCATTTCTGTAGCAACAAACCTATCTAATCAGCAGAAACAAAATCAAAGTTTCATTTTCCCCCATTTTGCAAGTGTAAAGTCCGGAAGCAATTTCCAAATAGAAGCAAAACTAAATATATTCTCTTTGGATAAAATAGTCAATTTAACCATCTCTGCTTCTCCTTGCTGTGGGGAACAGCGCATGCTTCTGTTTACTCATTACTTTTTATAAACTGTCATAAGGCTGTGTTGTTTTGATTTCCATACTGTGGGGGATCATAATGGTTGGACTGGGCTGTTGAAAACAGGAGAAGATGAACTTGGAAACTGAATCCC